GCTGTGTTCCAGTAAAAGCTGTGACCACAAACACAAATCCACAAATGATCTGACTACCTACAGACAAGAGTTCAGACAAGTTCAGAACCATTCTTTGGGGTATATTAAAAGGCATTCTGGGAAATGTAAGAAATCACTGCAAAGAAATAGAAGCCAGGCTGAGGCTATGTGGGTACATCAAAGTAGTATTTTACTCTTAATCATTCCTGGAATGCACAATAAAAACATCAGAGATTGATGGTATGTGGCAATAATAATAGTGTCTAAACATATTTTATATAGGGTAAAACCATTTAAAACGTGCTTCAAAGTTTAGAATTTCTATTTTGTATAGGTCAGAGGTAGAAGAGAGGAAGAAGTCTTCAGATTTGAGCAGCAATAACACAATATAGAAATACATTGTTACAAGTAAAAGCATTCAGAATTTTTCTTAAATCAAAAAAGATCATTTTACTACTTATAGTTTCAAAAGTGTACACCGTGCTGCAGAATGACCCCTGTCAGTGTCAGTGTTATATCATAATATACAGTGTACACAACTGTTGTAGCTGGTCAATGTGGAGATCATTCAACTTCCCTAACAAATGTAGTAGTTCAATCGATATAAATGAATGATATTTGACATGCGGATCATGTGTTTTGTCTGTAAAATCATAATATGCACAGTAACTACTAACTATAACTGTCAAATAAATGCAGTGGAGTAATATATTTACCTATTATAAGTAGTGGAATAAAAGTAAATGACATAAAATGGAGCTATTCAAGTAAAGTACCTCAAACTAAATGTACTTTTACACCACAGCTATACATACACATTCATTGGAACCAACTGCCGTTTCCCTTTTTTTCTGCAGCAGCTTTGGTATGTCAACGTCTTATGTGTGTGTCTGTAAATGCTCATCCGTGTGTGGTTGTGTATATGTATGAGCAGGTCTGTTTACGAATCTCTTTCTATATAAGTCATCGGTGTGTGTGTGTGTTTGTGTGCATCTGCAAGTTTGTGTGTGAGTGCTCTGTGTGAGAAATGGTGTGAGAATGCATCAAGGGGAGCATGTGTTAGCTCTGCTTCCAATATGAGGGAAATCTGTGGCACATACCTCCGATATGACACAAGCCAAAACGACATGACTCACCCATGCTATATTTGATTAATAAAACTACAGCCGACGAAATGTGTTTCAAAACAACAGACCATCACCGAGGCACGGATCGACTGGAGAAATGTAGAATCATATTATTATCATTAAGGTATGGAGTGTGTGTGTGTATGTGTGTGTGTGTGTGTGTGTGTGTGTGTGTGTGTGTGTGTGTGTGTGTGTGTGAAATCTGATCAAAAATGATATCATCTGAATGTTACATTAGCAGATAAATATGTCTTCATTTTGCACTTTAGTGAGGCGTGTGTGAATGCAGGCCGCTGTCTCTGCTTGTCCCTCAGAGGACAGCTGCCATATATGTTTAAACCCCGCTGCTCTGAATCTTATAATAAATGTTATAACACGAATTTTCCAGCTTCAAGAGAAAAGGTTTCCATTGATTAGCACTTTGCAAGCAATCAATTTCTACAAACCCGCTTGACCCCCTCATCTCTTTCTCTGTTTCTCAGGAAGCCAACTCTCAGGATGACGGTCTTTTGCGAATTAAAATAAAACAGTGAAGTGAGGGCGGTAAGAGTAGTTATTGGAGAGAGGAGGAGAGGAGGAATGTTTGAGATACGTGTCTAGATTTAAGGGGGACAAAGACGAATGTGAGAAAGTCTTATTCCTGTTGCATGAGCAGCAACAACCTGATTACAGACAACTAGGCGGGATGAAGCATCCTAACCCCACAAAGCAGACATATCCCTCACTTGTTCTTGTCATATGATCTCCAATCACTCAGTGACACGCGCGTACAGTACACACACTATAACAGCCCATCACCATGAGAGATGGGGTGGCCACGCTCCTCCAGCTCCAGGAATAATGGCTTGCACCTGTTTACCATGTCACCTCTGTTTGCTAATTGTCTCCTTGAGCTCCATAGAGAGGAATTGACGGCGTTGTGGCTTTTTGACAGGCGGGTGCACGTGTGTGTGTTTGTGGCGTGGGTGTCCCATTGATTTGATGATGTCATGTGATGAAAAGGCACCAAATGTATTTTATGTTACGTAGCTCTGTCCGGTTTTGCGTGCTAATAGCTTAGGTGATTAGCATCATCCAAAAAGTGACCAAAGAAGAACTCTGAGCAGCTCCATCACTGTGTTTATTTCATTTTAACCTGCTAATGCTAACCCTGCCAATAGTTTTTAAAAACAAAAATCTGTGTTAAGTGTTTAGGAAATTTAGAGTAGAGGGAAAGTATTTCTTTGTTCATGCTGTTGCTGTATAATGAAGGCTAGATGTAATAAGAAATGTAAAGAATAACCAAATCCATCTTTATGTGTCGATATATCTCTGGATTAGGAGTGTCACCATGTACGATAATTGTCATATTTAAAAATGTAATACTGATATCGTGTTAAAGCTGCAGTAGGTAACTTTTATAGAAATAACTTTTTGTCATATTTGCTAAAATTTTGACTGTGTGCTAGTAGTATATGAGCCAGACATCTGTGGAAAAAATCTGGTTCCTCTGGCTCGTTTTAGTGTTCCTAAAGGGATTTGCAAGAATCAACCGGACCTGGATGAAAACAACCAATCAGAGCTGAGAAAGACAGAAACAGACACTTTGGGTTGGATGCCTGAAGTTCTTACAATAGCTCACAAAGCTGAGATATTTACTGAAAAATGACATGTGACCAAGGTAGGGGCAACATCGTCTCAACAGTTATGATTTTACACTGTTTTCCATTGCCAATACACACCAGTTTGCTAAGACCGTCACTTTTGCAATCAAAATGACAAACATTTTAGAGGAATTGTCTTGCTGACTATCATGTCAATTTCAGGAGAATTTCCCAGTTAATCTTTAATGAATATCAAATTAATATTTTACGCTTATCATCTCAATAGTTCTGCATCTGGACATGCAGTATTTGGAGCAAGTAGCTTGTGAAAATAAGGTTGTAAAACTAAGTAGGCCACAGCTGTTATTTCAATGTGTCAGATACATTTAATCAACATTTCATATCTTCCGCTGCTCATCTCATTTTCAGGTTGTAGCTACAGGTTGTCAACATTAATTAGGCTGCCGCTGCAAACTGTAGTGTTACCTTTTACAGCTGACATAGGGTGATCACAGGTCTGAACTGAGTTTTTGAGTTTTTTTTTTTTTATAAATGTAGTTACTTGAAAATATTAAAAGCTAAACATAATCAGATTCAATAGTAGATTCAAAAGAATTCAGGTTTGAAAGGTAAATTTGACACTGGGTTCGTTTCCGACAAAAAGCTTTAAAAAGGCTCCAACCTTAACTGGCACTGGCAGCAGTAACACGAGTTAGAGGTGTCTATTTGGGTGTCAGTTTGTGCCATCAGCAACATATCCGTCTTTCTGCTACCAGAGGTGCAAACATATGTGTCCTGAACACCAGGATAAAAACCTTTGCAGTCTTTTTCCCAAATGCTGTTTAACTGTCTAATCACATTCCATTGGATGTCCCAACATGATGTCTATTGTGAAAATAGGTGAAACCACAAAAAACCATGAAGCAATTTCATGGGATCTTTAACATATTGTACAGTATGTTATACCACTGTTTGCCACATATAGAATACTACCAACTTGACAACATAGGCAAACATTTCCAAATAATGGTGCAAGTCTGCAAATTGTGCTTGATAAAACTGAGATGCAAAGGGGCTAATGCAAGGTAGATGAGGCATGTTCACTTAGACAAACACAGTTCATATCCACTTGCAAAGTTCAGGTCAACAAGGTGACATTCACCCTACATCCACCCCACTGCGCATACAATCAGTGAGTCATATTCAACACATTCTCACTCCCAACTCATTAAATACTGCAGCTTGGTCAGTGGCCCTCCGCCTTAAAGATAAAATAATAAATAAATATGTAATGTTAAGTTAGATGTTCAAAATAAAGCTTGTGTGGTTAACTTTGTGAAAGGGTTGCAGTTTGGTTATGTTTAAGGAAAGATGTAACTTACCTGACATAACTTAAGTACATGAATAAAACATAACTTACCTAACGTAACTATGTTACCTGAGTTACAGTCCAGTGTGTAACATTTAGGAGGATCTATTGTCAGAAATAGAATATAATATTCATAGGTATGTTTTCATTAATGTATAATCACCTGAAAATAAGAATCACTGTGTTTTTGTTATCTTAGAATGAGCTGTTTTTATAGAGACCTTCCATGCAGTCAGCTATGTTTCTACAGTAGCCCAGAAGGGACAAACCAAATACTGGCTCTAGATAGGGGCATTTGTGTTGTTTATGCATTACGAGGGAGTTGCAATCTGCAACAACACTTCTAGATGCCACTAAACCTTACATTCTGGACCTCTAAAAGAAATGATTTACTTTGAGTTTTCTTTTCCTGTTTGTTTGCGCCACCCACCCACCCATATAGGGACTTTCTGGCTCTTCTTACTATGTCACCTGTCTTCCATGGTGGACACATCCAGAAATGGCACTAGAGGGATACCTACAGCAGTGGTTGATGACTTGGGAGTGAGACCAGGTTGTCATATTTCCATATTGTGTGTATGTATATGAGCATACATTCCTGCATTGTATAATGGAAGCCTGAAGGATGTGTTGCTAGAAGGGGGCTATGATTGTGAGTAACTCTTCTATAACTTTGTGGTACTACAGAGCGAAACCCTCACTGACCCACCAACAGACGCTGTAACGGGCAGCTCCGAGCTACGAATGTCTCAGCAGTGTGACTAAGAAGCATGGCACTGCTTAACAAGTGCACGCTCAATTGACTTTCCCCGGATAAACAAAGATTTGAATGAAAACAAAAGATGCTTGCGCGGGTGTGTAAGTGTGACAGGCACCTTTAATATCCTCCCCTTTTCCCGTGATCAATCGGTGTGATCGTACCTGCGCGACTGCCGCCGCTCCAACGAATGCCGGATGTCAGGAAGAGTGCCGACAGCTCCACAGAAGGTGGGACGACAAGAGCCTGTAAACAAAGCACACACACCAGGAAATTCACAGTCACCCACATTTGAAGCTTGACAAGTGTGCCACACAGACAGAAGAGAAATACCCATTAAAATACTGTGCACTGTTCCCCCCCCCAACACACACACACACACATCTTTGTTTTTCTTCAGGACTTCCTGTGAGGACGTGATGTCATTTACACATCCCTGAGTAATCTAACAAATATATGAACTGTAATTGCTTGTGTATATCAATCTTTTGCTGTTTTCATTTTCTTATTATTATTACTTTTTAATTTGACACTATAATATCCAGTCCGAGACGAGAGAATCATACTGGGACAAGATGTGCAAGGTTTATCGTTTGAGAGTTAAAATACAATGTTGAAAAAAGCTTTGTTCTCATAAGCAAAAAACTGTGAGAGGAGCCTACGCAGCACAGCAGAGGATGTTATCTGATCCAGCCTTGAAGCCCAGCCGCTTAACGCCAGAAAAATAATCAAGCCAACCCAAAGTATGTGAAGTCAAAGACTGCCACTCCCCTTTAAAGTAGCATGTAACTCAGTGAGTGGCATTTGAGCTGACAGAGAGACATAAAGAAACTGACAGCAACCGGCTTTGACTTTCAATACCAGTCATGATTTATAAAATTATAGAGCAGATATTTACAAAACCCTGCAGAAAGTTTTCACGCTCGATTAGGGTGGAAAGCCTGAAAAAGTTATATAGCTATTCTTTGTTGAATAACTTAATTTATCCATTTCTACACAGCTGACTAAACTGCTTCTGATTTACCTTTCATTTTTTGTGACATTTCCAATGTTTGCTTAAATCTGCAGGAGTTTGCTTAGACGGTAATGTGCAAGATCTTGGTTTTTGTACATTTACTTTCAATCTTTAGCGCTAAACGTTCGATGCCGTGTTGTTTCTGTACGCCGCCACCCAAAGATCACCTGTCAGTCACAGGGTGAGCAACACCTTTTCTTGTCTTTCTGCAGGTGGCGCTCTGTTTCGTTAAACATTATTACTTAAAATTTTTTGGACTGGCAAAGGAGTCCAGCAAATCCTCATGACTATTCTGGATGTGAAGAGGCAGCCAGGCATGGAGAAGCTGGCTCAGTCTGCAACGGGTGGAGGGGGAGTGGCGGTGGGGGGGGAGAGGAGGAACACAGATGTGGAGGGTCTGCAGGAGGGCCACCCAGGCCTACCCACCACTACTGTTTCAATGGAGCGTCAAGAGTAAAACTCACAACTCACATACAGAGAACACACACACACACACACACACACACACTCACACACACACACACACACACACACACACACACACACAAAGCCACGACATTGCCTTAAGTCACAATCTAAATTGGCTCCCAAGGGCATACCGACTACCTTGTTCACCAAAGGCATTGTGTATGTTTTCTGAGTGCTTAGCATATGCTGCCGTAACCTGAGATCTCTCTCTCTCTCTCTCTCTCTCTCTCTCTCTCTCTCGGTCTGTCTCCCTCGCACACACACACACATACACAAACACGCAATGTTGCAAGAAGTTGCTCTGTTTTCTCCCTTTACGTATTTCCCATCAGGCCCTTAATTAAATTCAAAATAGTTCACATCTACCTATTAAACCATGTTGCACCAGCCGCCCACCAGTCAAACCTTGAAAGAGACACAAATACAGGCAGGCATGGGGTGGGGGGGTGGGGTGGAGAGGGGAAAGAGAGAGACAGGTTGTCTTTTAGAAAGAAAGAGTGTGAGAAACTATAAGGAACTCTTCTCAGATCACAAGCAATGAGGAATGTCAGGTCTGCTTTTTATACCGCCGTACAATATTGTGATACTGATGTATGAAAGGTAAACACTGATTCTCTCTGTCATGTTTACCTGACAAAATGCAGTTGGTGAGGTGTCTGTCAATCAATCAATCAAAAAACTCTTACGTTGGTTTTCTGGACACGGTGCAGGGCCTGTTTTGCCTTAAAAATTCCGAAAAATATTTTCTAATTGTACTTTATTGCTGTTTTCATGATTAAAATTAAACATGGAGTCATGAAAATAGCTTGCAAACTACATTCAAAGGCAGATAGAGACAGGTTATTGTTCCAGCAGAGTGGAATACCACAGCAAGAGCTGCTGACACTTGATCGAATCTGCTACATCTATGATTTGATATCAAAGCACAGCGCAGAGTAATGGAAATAGCTAACATTTTAAGACAGTCTAACCTTTCCTGTGTTTACCTTATTAAAGAGTGTGTACCTTAACTGGTAGTGCAATACACATAGGGGGAAAAACAATGTGTATAAAGCCGGCAGTGTTTAAGCAGGCGAACAGTAAAGTAATAGGCAAGAGCAGTGAAGTGTTGATTCTACAAAAGATGCGGGGGGAAAATTGCACCTTAGTGCACATGCACACACACACAAGAAAACACACACACACACATATGCACATACACACACATTCCCTACCCCTCCTCAATATACTCCCACAACACGGCCGGCTGCCTGGCAGCCGAAGTTAACATTTTCAGAGAAAATATTCCTTGCCTCCAATAGTCCGATGTAATTCATTTTCCATCTCTGTTCATTAATCATTGTTAAAATTAGTGATCCATTTCTTCCACTCTGCCATCTGCACTCAGCTTCCTAACAAACATGACACCTCAGCGCATAATAAAAGCTGACAGCTACGAGGAGGCCTTTCCAAGTAGCTTTCTGCATATGTGCACCTCCACGACTTGATGCCGTTGTCAGACAAAAGTAGGTTATTTAGACCGCTGGCTGGAGAGAGCTGCATGAGTACACACACAGACAAGCATACTCAAATGTACATGGACATATATGTACATACATGTGCAGGTATACACACAGCTACAGTACATGTCAGAGGCCAAAAAAACCACACATGGGCAATCTCAGAACTTATAGTCACATGCACACACTTTCACGCACCAGCACATGCACAAAACAACAGATGTGCCTAACCTTGAATGGAATGTGCTAAAATCCTGATAAGGAAACCCCCCCCGCCCCCCATATTGCTCAGTAAAAGGGGGTAAATTGAGGAAAATGAGGAGAGGGGAAACATAAAAAAATATGAGTAAACATGAAACCCAAGGGAGCGAAAGAAACAGGGAGAAGCCTTAAAAGTATCCTGTTTACCCCTACAAGGTTTTCGCTTTAACGTCAGCTGGAGCGGTGTTGTACTTTTCCATTTGCATCTGCCGTCTCCAGCAGCTGTGGCGTTTGTGTGTGTTTGTTGTGATACTGTATATCAGCTCGGCTACACCCTGATCTCGGCTCGGCTAAGCTAAGAGCTAATTGGGCTCCGAGGTTGAGACAGTGTGGGATAGAGAGAAGGAGAAGAGAGTGAGTCACTGGGGCCAGACGATTGCCCCTCTCAGGTCACCCGGGCCTCATAAACACCCCTCTGATTCACATAAAAATACCTTGATGGAAAGCTATCGACTACCCAGATGCCCCTGCAGACACCCAGCAGCAGGCTTAATACGCTGGAATACTTTTAAAAAATGAGGTGAAAAGTGATTTCACCTCAATTTTTTAAGTATTCCGGTGTGTTTCTTACCCACAGACTCACAGTTTAATCAAGCATAAAGCAAGGATGCACTCTAATATCTGTGAATTTAGCTACATTTCTGGGTGAAATAAACAGGTAGAGCCACATTAGAAACCCAGGCTACAAGTAAAATCTTTTACTTCACACCCTGCCATTACTTATTTATGATCAGATGTGTTATTTATTGCATAATTTCTATTATCACTGAATAACTTTTCCACCGCAAACAAGTGTAAAATCATTAAAAATATATCATATTTCAAAAATTCACCACGAATAAATCCAAATGCCACCCAAGCCTCTTTCTCTGCCTCTCTCCCTTTTGCTCACTCGCACACGCACAGCTTACTCACGGTACCTTCCCCTAGTCTCTTGTTAACACCCCCCCAATGCTCACAATACACACACTCAGACACACGCACACACACACACGCACGCACACACACGGTCAGGATCCCTCCCTGGCGAGGTGTGTGTGTCTCTGCCTGAGGCACAGCACATTAATCTATATAATGCCCTCAAAGAGAAGGCTTTTTCACACCGCTAACTGCCAAGGACTACGAGGGGCAGCGGCTGAGCCATGATTCAGCTGTTAGCCCAACTGGCGTCCCTGCGCACACACGCGCACTCGCACCCCCGCACACCCCTCCCAACACACACACACACAATATGTTAGCAAGAATACACACATACACCCTTCGATGGCAAAAAAAGAAAAAACAAAAGACAACACAGACACCTTTGTGAGCTCATCAACACTAGAGTCGGGTATCGAACTGCAATAAGCTTTTTGGTAAAGAAGGAAGCGTGTCAAAAACTGGCTCAGATTCATGCTCCTCTTGATCAGGTACTTCCTGATTTAAATCTGAATTTTGACTATTTTTTTTCCATTTCTTGTGCAGCTGCTTGGAAAAATGATTTTTTGTTGTTGTTCTGAAACACGTATTGTTTTGGTATTTAAACTCAGGTATAATATTGGCATCTGGTGTTGCCTGTATGAGTTGAGCTCCATGATTTCGATTCTAAATATAAAAGTGTGTACAGAAGCTGCAAAAGTCAAGAGCGTCCCCCAAGGAATTTCTCCGATTTGACCATAAAATTCAGAAATCAGACCAAATAAATGCAGAAGAAGCTACAGCACCTCGTCCACCACCAGCAGACGCTACAGGAGAGGACGGTTTACTGCTGTTACCTTGCAGGATTTCTGGGCTTCACCGTCCTCATATTTCAGACTGTAACCTCTTGCCAGTGTGTGAAGTTGCTCCAGTGCAGATTTAATATTCATTTGTTGCACGGAGGGCCACAAAACAGACAGCTCGGAGCGGTGATTGGAGGGCCAGTGCTCAGAGACAGACGGCGAGCAGAAGAGCAGCTAAATCATCTTGACATTCACCAAGAAGTAGCCACACAGAAAGCTACTGCTGCTGTTAGTTCTCCCATC